CACTTTTTGTGTCCTCTCAGTCCCAGACAGGGAATAAGACATTAGGACAGATTTCAAAGGCCAGTACTAACTACAAGTTCCAATGAGGTTCTGAGGCTCAGTTTTGAACCCCTATTGGTGTACTTAATTGACTTAAGGAATAAACCTGATAAAGCAGGGCTAATATGTGAAAGGTTAAGATAGTTGCCTTCCCATCAAGGATTGGGGTCACCATCCCAGTGATTCATAGGATATTAGAGAATTTCCATCACAAGAAGCTATAGTAATTTTAAGATAGAATTTGATATGATCTATATATTTCTCAAGTCTAAATTATTATGGACTGTATTGCATATCCATACATACGCATATTAAATGATATTAATTTGATTTTCTTTCTGAACTAAAAGATTCCATAGGAACATACCCCTGTTTTTTCCTACTGTTAATGAAAATTTTTTTCACCTTTAGTCTTTGAATTTAATGTCTATTTACATATAATGCTAAAATTCTTTTAAAAATGATAAAAATTCCAAATGTTTGTAAAATAGATTATTACTGATTTTTCTACATGAGATAAAAGGCAAAACAAATTACATAACAGATGTAATTACTTAAAGATAGCATTTGATATAGAGCTTTTCACCCTCACTAAAATCATATTAGAAGGTCTCTATGTGCAGCTAGTTGGATGTATATCCTCTCTTGTGTTTGCATGGCTTTATGATGTGAGAAATCAATTCTTGTATGGTTGCTACTTGACTTTCTCTCCAGAAAACTGTTTCTTGTATTAGGTTTTGATACCATTTGACGAGGAAGCTTGTGAACCTCTCAACCTGATAATGCAAGTTGCATTAAATGGGACATCATTCCCAGTAGCTGGTAGATGGACAATTTGGTATTCTGCAGCATGAAAGATTGAAGTCCAACCACTCCATCATTACTTCAGAAGAAATTCTCTTCAAGTGAAAAAGTGGAAAAGGAGGTATTTTGTTCTTGTATGAAATGGAAATGGCTTTCAATACTGTTTTCCTTATCTACGCCTTGATTTTTTTCTTAAGGAAACTTAGACCATTTACTGAAACAGGCATCTTTTAATTTGGTGACCAACCCCTGTATTCTTAACCTGTTTTTGAAAAAAATTGAAACCTAAGACTCAGTATGTCAGAGGTAGATTCTTCCTGTTGTGTATGTGGTCGTTAGGTTAGTTGTACACATTTTGCTACTTATTAATGTTTCTCTTTTCATCTCTGCTTTTGCTTGCATCTGAGGAAGAGACAAGCTAAAGCAGAGAGGACAGACAGTTAATCACTACTACCGCCAACATGCTTTTACACTTTGGTCTTATCAATGAGATAGGGCTGAAAACCAAATCAAAACAAGACACAATATCCTTCTCTCTGTGGAGTATCAATGAATTAATCTCACTGGATGAGAAGCATTGGTTGGATCAATAAGACATTTTCCCACGTTTCCCTGCTGGCCAGAAAGACTCCAATTTCTACTTTTGCTATTAATTGATTCAAATTATATGAGATGGTAATGTTATAAGGAAATCATTCCATGGGGCTCCCAACATTCCTTGTTAACTCTAACCTGTTCTTGGTGCGTTTTATTCTGTAGTACATATTTGGCATTAGGTTCATTGTGGGTTTTTTTCTTTTTCTTTTTTGTCTGTTAAAAATAGTACCAATTACTTCAGTTATACACAGTGTTTGTTCTTGAGTCTGTAGCATGTTAGAAAATTCTTTTAATTTTTTAGTAGAAACTATATTCAAGACACTCCATGGTTTTTTCCTGATATCTTTTTAGATTCCTGAATAGGCACTGTCTATCCCACTATTTTGCTTATATCCCTGCTAGACTAAGAAATCTCTAAAGCCAAGCATTTAGTTGAAACAAACTTTATTTTTTACTCACAAACTTTAGCTTATTATTCACATTCTTCCTAGGATATGTGGTAGCTCTGACCATTAGGATGAGGCTCTAAGTACTCATTTTTGGAAAGAGGAGGCTGAGAACTGTCATAATAAAGCCACATCCAGTCTTGTGTTCTCTCATTTCCTTGTGCTGTTCATGGACATTTTCACTTGTCCATGGGATTGTAAGAACCCCGAGGGCTGTGCTTATTTTTGCATTCACCTATGCCCAGCCCTCCTTTGGTAGCAGGACATGCACTCTGAATATGTTCTTTAGGTAAATTGAAATAGCCGTGTGTGTGTGTGTGTGTGTGTGTGTGTGTGTGTGTGTGTGTGTGTGTGTGTAGTTTTTCTGTCTTCAACACTTTGAGGTTATCTGATAAAATCACACTTTGCTGGCGGCTTTGAGACATAAAATTTGAAATGTGAGCAGGAAAATTGGGTACTTTAATGCTTTATTTTGCACTTCTAAGTTAGATAGTGAATTTTAAAGGAAATTCATCCCACCATTAGTTTATTAAGTATATACAATATAAAAAATAGACTCTACAGCAGAAGGCGTGATAGTTTCATCTATCTCTTATGTGTTATATGTCACCTTGGCAGGGTTGATTCCCCACTCATTTTGCCTAAATTTGGGTTTCTATACTTTCTTAGGTCTAGGATTAATGACTGACTTATAAGGTTGATGATGGTGAGTGACCTTTGAACACCCCGCTCCGTCCTATGTGGATGTGATGTCTACATGGCTCTGTGATGGCATGGCTGTCATTTTATATTTATTACTTATGTTCCCTTGTCATTTTGATTTTATGATGACAAATCCACAATCTAGAGTTGCCATGCCTCATTGATATCAGTTGGGTGCCTCTGGGCTTTCTCCTTGAGCACACTTTCAGATTTCTTCATACTGTAAATCATCTCTGACCCCAAAATAAATCATTATGAATACTATGTTCATCTCTGGGAGAGACAAAATCACTTAAAGTAAATGCTCCCCCCACCTTATTCATTTTTGTTAAATATTATTTTTAAAAAAGTTTGTAGAATGTACTTTTGGGATGTCACATAATTTAAAAAATTCATTTTCTTAAATCTAGTAAAATGTGTTCTTTTTATTGTATAGTTTTTTTTTTTTAAATTGATAAACACATTAAATGGGACATTTAGTTTTTATTTTAACCCAAAATGGTAGATTTTGGCTAGAAGTTGCTTCTTCTACTTAATGTATATCAAATATCTTTTTCTTTTTCTAAAATTAGTTTTATTTAGATATAATTAACAAGTAAAAATTGCATATATTTAAGGTATACTCCTAGATGTTGAGATATATGTACTTATTGTGAAATGATCACCATAATCAAGCTAATTTACATATTTATTACCTTACATCTTTACCAATTTCTTCTTCTTTTTTTGTTGTGATGAATACATTTAAGTTTTACCCTCTATACAAATTTCGGGCACACAATACACTATTATTAACTATAATCATGACACTGTACACTAGATATCCAGATACTAGAGGACTGGTACAAGAAATTCATGCATAGGTAGGGTCCCTAGGCCTGGCCGGTGATCAAGGCCAATCTGTGCGGTGACCAGTGGGACAATCGGGGGGTGTGGTGGCGTTGGCACCTGCCTTGGTTGGCCTGGGGCCTGCGGGCTGGGGGCAGCTCCTGCATTGAGTGTCTTCCCCCTGGTGGTCAGTGCATGTCATAGTGACTGGCCATTCTGCCTTTGATTGATTTGTATTTTAGGCTTTTATTATATAGGATTATTCATCCTGCATAACTGAAACTTTGTACTCTTTAACCACCTCCCCATTTTCTCCACCAGCATACCCAGCCCCTGGCAGCCACTTTGGTATTCTTTTCTTCTATATACTTCACTTTTTAGATTCCATGTATAAAAGTGGGATGCAGCATTTGTCCTTCTGTGTCTGCTTTATTTCACTTAGTATAATATCCAGCAGATTGTTGCAAGTTGAAGATTTTTCTTTATTATGACTGAATAATTCTTGTGATATATATGTATATCATATTTTCTGTATTCGTTTATTGAACAAAACATAAATTGCTTTCATATCTTGGCTATTGTGGATTATATTGCAGTGAATGTGGGAGTGCAGATATCTCTTTCAGATACTGATTTCATTTCTTTGGGATATATGCCCATAAGTGAGATTGCTGGATCATAAAGTAGTTCTATTTTTAATTTTTTTTTCTGCAGAACTGTCATACTGTGTTCCATAGTGGCTGTGTTAGTTTTCATTTCCAACAGTGCACATGGTTTCCATTTTCACCACATTGGTGTCAATACTTTTTCTTTTATATATAATAGCAATTCTAACACGTATGAAATGATCATCTCATTGTGGTTTTGCTTTGCATTTCCCTGGTGGTAAATGATGTTGAGCATTTTTTGGTCAATTATGTGTTGTCTTTTGCAAAATATCTATTTATGTCCTTTATCTATTTTTTAATGGGACTACTTGACTTTTGTTTTTGCTATTGATTTGTTTATGTTCCTTATATATTTTGGATATTAACCCCTTATCAGATATAAGATTTACAAATATTTCTCTCCTATTCCATAGGTTGCTTCATTTTATTGGTTACTTCCTTTGCTGTGAAGAAGCTTTTTAGTTTAATGTAGTTCCACCTGTCTACTTGTGCTTAGTCGCCTATGCTCTTGGTGTCAAATATAAAAAAAATCCTTGCCAAGACTGGTGTCAAGAAGTTTTTTTCTGAGACATGGAAGTGGCTATGGAGCATTGAAGGTCATGCTGGCCTCCCTGGTTTGAGTCTTTCTGGTTTAATTCTGAGCATCGCAGACCACATTGCTCCACAGGGAAGCCTTAGGGTCACTGCTAGCATTTAAATCTCCATACCTGCACTGCCAGGAACTCATTGTTCTTGACTCTTCTGTGACAAAGGACAACACTTTCAGCATTTCAGGGTCCTTCTGACTGAGTGTGGTGGAAACAAACAAAAGAACTGTGCTGATACTTTTGAGGTACATTCCTATGATGCAGACATAACTCCTTAATATCAGGTCACCTGAGAAAACAACGAAGAGCAGGACCAGGAACAGGAGGACATGGCTGATGCTCAGGGACCATTAACCTTCAGAGATGTGGCTGTAGATTTTTCTCAGGAGGAGTGGGAATGCCTGGATCCATCTCAGCGAAAATTGTATGTAGATGTGATGTTGGATAACTATGAAAACCTGGTATCCGTGCGTCTTGCTGTCTCTGAGACAGATCTGGACACCGTTTTTGAAAAAATGATGAAAAATTGGGATGTGAAGGGAAAAATGACGGTATTCACCCACCCAGCTATGCCATCTGAAGACAACCGGGCCTTATTGCAAAAGCCAGGAATAGAAGATTTGTACTCTAAAATAATACTGAGTGCATATAATGGAAACAGAAGTTATCAATGCAATGAACATTGGAAAAACTTAAACCAAGATTCAAATCCTTATAAACATCAGAGAACTCAGATTCCAGTGAACCATTATGAAGGTGGAAAAGTATTTGACCAAATGTCAAATCACAGTAAAAATCAAGTTATTCAAATTGTGGAGGAGACAAACAAACAAAGTAAATGTGTCAGATCATTTAAGCGATCTTCAAATCATATTGAACAAGAGAATATGTACACTGCAGAGAAAGGTTACAAGCATAATCTACTTGGGAGAGTCTTCAGTCATATGTTCAATCGAAATAAACATAAGGAAATATGTACTGGAGGAAAACCTTACAAATGTAAAGAATGTGATAAGTCATTTAATTGGCCTTCAAATCTCAGGGTGCATCAGGTAATTCATACTGGGGAGAACTTTTACAAATGTAGAGAATGTGGCAAAGCCTTTAGCCAGTCCTCAAATCTTACTAAACATCATAGAATTCATACTGGAGAGAAGCCTTATAAATGTACAGAATGTAGGAAAGCCTTTAGCCATCCCTCAAATTTGACTAGACATTATAGAATTCATACTGGAGAGAAGCCTTATAAATGTGCAGAATGTGGCAAAGCCTTTTGCCATTCCTCAGACCTTACTAAACATCATAGAATTCATACTGGAGAGAAACCTTATAAATGTGCAGAATGTGGCAAAGCCTTTTGCCAATCTTCAGACCTTACTAAACATCATAGAATTCATACTGGAGAGAAGCCTTATAAATGTACAAAATGTGGCAAAGCCTTTAGTGATTCCTCAGTCCTTACTAGGCATCAGAGAATTCATACTGAAGGGGAGCTTTATAAATGTACAGAATGTGGGAAAGCCTTTAGCATTTCCTCAAACCTTACTGAACATCAGAGAATTCATACTGGAGAGTAGCCTTATAAATGTACAGAATGTGGGAAAGCCTTTAGCCATCCCTCAAACTTGACTAAACATTATAGAATTCATACTGGAGAAAAGCCTTATAAATGTACAGAATGTGTCAAAGCCTTTTGCCATTCCTCAGGCCTTACTAAACATCATAGAATTCATACTGGAGAGAAGCCTTATAAATGTAGAGGATGTGGTAAAACCTTTAGCCAGTCCTCAGCCCTTACTAAACATCAGAGGATTTATACTAGAGAGGAGCATTATGAATGTACAAAATGTCACAAAGCCTTTAACCAGTGTTAAAACTTTATTGGAATTCAGAAGATTCATACTGGAGATAAGTCTTAGAGATGTAAAATTTTGTATCAACACTCAAAACTTAACATCAAGGAATCCATACTAGAGAGAAACCTTAGGAATGTAAAAGATAAAGCAAATTCTCCAAACATCATTCATGTCTTACTGTACATGAGAAAATTCATACTAGAGAGATACTTGACCGATGTAAAAAGTGTGGTAAAGCCTTTTACTGGCTCTGTAATTGTACTAGTCATCAGATAATTCATTTTCAAGAGAAACCTTATAAATGTGGAAAATATGGCAAAGCCTTTTTTGCCACTCAGAAATTACTGAATATCAGAAAATTCACACCAGAAGCAAATGTTACAAATGTAGAGAATGTGGAAAAGCCCATCATCACTCCTTAAAGCTTACTTGTCATCAGATTATTTATAGTGGAGAGAAACCTTACAGGTGTAAAAATTTTGGAAAAGTATTTTCTTGGTATTCTTGCCTTCCTAAGCACCAATTATCTCAATCGTGAGAGAAGCCTTACAATTGTGAAGAATGTGGTAAAACTTTTATTATTGGTGTATTATGAAACATGAGACAAATCATAGTGGAGAGAAGCCTTATATGTGTAGAGCATGTGGCAAAGTATTTAAATGGCATTCATGTCTTACTGTTCATGAGAGAATAATTCATACTGGGGAGGGTGTAGCAAAGCCTTTTATGAGCACTCAGAACTTAACATCACAGAATCCACACTGTAGTGGCCTTATGAGTGTGGACAATGTCATAAATCCTTTGAACACCATTCGTCTTACTGTACATGAAAGAAGCATTCATTCTGGAGATGAACCTTATAAATGTAGTGTATGCGCCAAGCCTTTAATTAGCAATGGTGTCTTAGCCAACATGAGAGAATTTATACTTGAGAGAAATGGTACAAATGTAGAGAATGTTGCAGAGACTTTAAGCTGTGCTCAAAACTTACTCAATATTGGAGAATTCATGCTGGAAAGAAATAGTTAAATTGTGAAGAATTTGGGCAAACCGTTAATCATTATTCAAGCCTCACTCAACATTTGAGAATTTATACTGAAGAGTAGCTTTAAGTAAAAAATGTGTCTAAGTCTTTAATCCTTATTTTACCTTACTCAGCATCTGATAGTTCATATTGGAGAGAAGCCTAACAAATATAAAAAATGTTGCAAAGCTCTACCAAGTATGCAAACCTTACTCAAAATCAGAATACATTCTAAAGAGAAAAAAATACAAATGTAAAGAATGTGGAAAACCCTTCTTTCAGCATTTACAGCTTATTTTACATGTGAGAATTCATAGTAGAGATAAACCTTAAAAAGAAAGACTGTAGAAAACCATATAGCTGGACCTACACTCTCATTGTCTATCAGGGAATGCACATGGGGGCAGAATTATATGTTCATAGTAAAGAATGAAAGACTTTTGTCCAAAATATATACTTCACAAAAGCTCAATTATGTCTGTAAGTAACATTAAGGATGTAAAAAACTTAGCAAAGTATGTAATTGAAAATGAATTTTTAAATAGAGAATTCACAGTTGAACATTAATAATAGTTTTCAGGTATTACTTTAAATCAGAATACTTACTATAGAGAATTATCCAAAGTTTAAAAAACTAGATAATGATTTGTAAGTGTGTTTTACAATATCAAGGGGATGTATGTTTAGATATGTATAAACACTTAGAATGTATCCTACTTTATATTGATAGTATTTGAGATATTTTGAGAAGGAAATATTAATATGATTCCACTCTCATATTATGTTACTGTATTTTTCTTCCTACTGTATGTGAAATCATGAGGTTGATTCTTGCTGCCTTAAAGATCTGTGAGTCTTGTCTCTAAGGTGGGTTTCACTCATATCTGCATTTCCATTAAAGATTGAGGACATTCTAATTCACAATGAATTAAGAAATCTAAAAAAAGATATTGTTTGTGGTTGACTTAGAGCTTTGTTGCATGTCACCATGAAGAGCATCTTTTATTGCATTAATGGAAATCATAAGAAAACTATGAATATTAACTATTTTTCCAAATATTCTATGGAAAATATGATATCAGCTCATTAAAATCCTGATGTATTTAATAGAAGTCATAGATAGAAGTGATGAGCATAAGTTGATGTGGTTGGAACAAAATAGTGATCAGGAATATGTGAAAAAGTATAGACAATTCATCCCAAAGTGCATAAAATAATTGTACATCCATTGTTGCTAAACAATTAGCCTCTATTTTGAAAAACAAAGCCCACCTATGAGATCACTAAATCACAAGTAGAGATACACCTCTTAAGTAATTTTGTAATTTTACAAATGGTCACAAAATTGGTTTGTCATGCTTTATTTAGGTTGTGTGAACTTATTACTTTAATAAAGCATAATCCATTTTTTTTAAAAAAAGCCTTTTCCTTATTGCTGTCTCCTAATAGTTTTAGTTGCATGGCCTTCTATTTCTTTCACTTTAATGAAATGCTTGTTGAAAAACATAGGCAAAAATTCTTGAATTGTAATCAACAAAATAATATTAAAAATAATTACTTGCTAATTCCACTAAATATATTTTGAGTATGTTAGGATACTCTGTATTTTAAATTGATATCTAGAAATATTAACTAGCAAAAAAACCTGACACAGTAAATGGTATCAATGTGAACACCATGAACAGTTTATATTATTCTTACTACATTTGTACATTTCTTCCTCTACTGAGGCAACATCCTTTGATTCTAAAAAATTACTTTAGACTATTACTATTTCAGCATTTTTAATACCAAAGAAATTAATACATTCTTAAAATTGTAAGATTTCAAGATGTGTTTTTATTTCACAAGAAAATAAGTTCTTTGCAAAGCAAACTCATGTCACTAAGTAGACTTTTACACACAACTGCAATGGGTGATTATTTTTATTTAGAATAAGAATTTCTAGAAACATCTTTATTATTTCAACATTTCTGAATTAAGAAACTTATTCTCATAGCAACAGAAATGATTTTTTGAATTACCATTCTAGTAAATAAGTAAACATTCTCCAGTTTTACTCATTCTTTATATTTTTTACAAGTTTTATGGAGTAACTACCTGACAATATACTTTTAATTGCAAAAGCTACTAGCGTCTATGGGTATTTTTGACATTGTGTATCTAAGCAATATCTTTGAGAGACATTGTATCAGAATGTTTGGATCTGGCAGGTGTAGCTCAGTGGATTGAGTCTTGTACCATGGTCAAGGCACATGCCCAGGTTGAAGGCTTGATCCCCGGTAGGGGTTGTGCAGGAAGCAGCTGCTCAGTGTTTCTCATCAATGTTTCTATTTCTCCCCCTTCCTCTTTTCTCTCTTTAAAAAGAAATTGATAAAAACATATTAAAAAAAGATTTGACTACTAGTACTTAAGTCTTCATATAGAAAGCCATTGTCTATGAAATGCGATTTCATGGAAAATTAAAGTTTTCATTTTTTAATCAAAATATCTCTTTCAATGGCTTGTCATATGTCTGAAAATTTCACTAGTATTCAGTTGTAATGTGTTTTTGTTGTCTTAATTAAGATTCCAAAATTATACTATAAATGAGAAAATACATGGTACGAATGAAACTACTAAAATCTCATTATGTTAATCATGGATGATGAATCAATTATAATCATAGCTGAAACACATAGGCTGTGTCAGATTTATACTGAATATGCAAGTAGCATCTATGATATAAACATAATTTATAAGATGAGCTACGTTGATAAGCAAATTAGTTATCTGTGATACCTGTTAGATAAGAAATGAGTCTATATGCTGAATACAGATGGCCCATAGGGAGCTAATATTCAAGATATAAAAATATACAGGATGCACATGAAGCTTTCAGTATTAATAAGATCTTAAACTTGCCACCTATTGGTAACAACCATTATGATGCTCTCCTGACTACAACTGTATTTTGACCAAGAAGCTCATGTAAAATCCACAGCTCCTCTTCAAGTTACAGCTGTGACCTGCACTCTCCAATAGAGCAACCATGTCTTGGTTTTATACATTTCTATTCATTAATCCCCCTCGAGCAAATGTCAACTCTGGATTTCACAACCACACCATCACAGAGAAGGCTGATATGGCACAAAGAGCAGAGCATCTCTACATATGAACATTGGGTGACCTGGGATTTGGGTAGTGTGTTCCTGCTACCCTGCTTGCTTTCTATACCATGTTAACTTGGTCCAAGATCTCTCTTTTCCTTTATTGAGTACTAGAGGCCCAACGCATGAAGATTCATGAAAGAATGGGCCTTCCTTCCCCTGGCTGCCAGCACCGCCTTCACTCCAGCCTGGAGCTGCCTTTCCACCTTCACTCTGGCCTGGAGTCACCTTCTGCCTTCGTGTGCTGCCCAGAGGTCTGGAGTGGTGGGGCAGGGCAGAATGCCTGCCTTGTCACCATGGTGATGACACAAGCATCCCAGCTCCTCCACCACCATCTTTGTCACATTAATTTGCATATTCCCTTCTTATTGGCTGTGGGCCCTGCAATCTTTGTCGGGAATTTATAGTCAATTTGCATATTCCTTCTTTATTAGGTAGGATACCAAACTAAATATTACATCATGCAAACATCATAAATATTTCTCAAATTTTACCCTTTGTACTACATACCTGTTTGTCTTCGTATTTGTTTTGAATAGGATTTTTATATTATTCAAAACAAATCTGAAACATTTGCCAAAAAATGTACATACCACATGTATTTTAACCGACTAGGCTTTGGGGAGGACAGTATAGTTCAGACAGGTCTGGGAGACCTTCGTTACCTGTGTTTCATCAGATGAAATGACTAAGGTGGGCTCTTCTCACCTTCACTGAAGCTGTTCTAAAGTCCAATTCTCTGCCATGCTTAGAGAAAGCAGAAATCAGTACAACTTAGGTTTTGATGTTTTATAAAATTACTAGAGGCCCAGCACGCAATTAAATCATGCGCAGTTAGGATCCCTAGCCCTAGCTCCAATCAGGGCCATGTCCACCGCCCAACATCGCTT